AAATTTTATTTTTATACTTCCAATCTGTAATATATTAAAAAAAAGATTTTATAATTAATTTAAAAGACAATTTTTATTTTTCATAACATTTTCTGGTACATATTAATCGGCCTGTTACTGTCATGTCTGTTTAAAATTACTCAATAGATCGTAATACCACTTTTTACTAATGCTTCGATGATTGATTAATTTAAAATAATTATTTCTTTAAAAATCTTGAGATAAAAGATTATTTTTAAAGAATCTTGCTCTGAAAAAAACTGTATGGTCAAAACAACCAGAATGTGTTAAAACGAATCGTTTTTCTGGCTCTATGGGAACACAAGAAAGCTTGATAATAATTTTTAGCAAATCGCTTCGGCAATGATTTTGGTGAAATTAATAATGAAATAAAGTTTTATAAAATTTGGTTTTATCATGATACCTTAGAGCATAAAAACCACTTATTTGGTTATATTTACTTTTCAGTTTTGAATATTTTACTAAAGTGTGGTGATAATAAATATAATTTAGAAAACTTAAATTTCCAGAAATCCGTTACCATATGAATGGGTTAATTACCAAATGAATGTTTTAAATACCATATATTTTGGTTTCATTAACCAGAGTTATGGTTTCTTTTTTACCAGATATTTAATATGGTAATTTTACCATAATTTTTTTTCTCCTTGTAGATTTTTAAAAGGTATTTACTTATGTTGTCCGGTCTGTTACCAAGTTTTTAAAGTTAATTTCTTGTCATATATAAAGTAAGAGTGTGAACCATATTTCAACCATAATGTCTTAAGCTTAAAAAAAGGTTTATGTCTTACACTTAAAAAAGAGTTTAAACGAGGTTGTAAAAAAATTTAAATTACGAAAAATTGTACGCCCTGTTTCCTGTTAATGTCTATTTTTAATTGTAAAAGATCTTCAATGCTCTAAATTTTAATTCAATTTTGATGCTGACCATTAAAATATGCGCAAGACATGTACTAAAAAGAAACGGTCCACTCTGAATAACTTTTGATCTAATAACTGGATCTTCGTGTTCTAGTTGTTAATTCGAGAGGGTGACCTTAAATATGCCAATTAATCAGTACAGATAATAGTTTAAGTTACAAAAGAAACGGTCCACTCTGAATAACTTTTGATCTAATAACTGGATCTTCGTGTTCTAGTTGTTGATTCGAGGGGGTGACCTTAAATGTGCTAATTAATCAGTGCAGATAATAGTTTAAGTTACAAAACCAAACACAAAAACGTACTTTATCTGAATCAGCATACCATTTTTTCAACGGATTCGGATTTCTGACTCCCAAAATATAGGCCGCAATCTGGGAAATAGGGTCAAAAAGTTTGGTCTGGAAAGCGATGCAAAGTTTGGACCCCCTAATGTTAATTTTTATTTTTTGCGTATTTTGCTATATCTCGAAAACTTTTTAAGCGAATTGAAAAATTTTTACACACAATTATAAAATTCATTTATCTAAAGGTAATCAAAGCGAAAAATACATTTTAGTAAATATTTATTATTCTTTATTATTTTATTTAATAAAGGTCCCAAAAAATTTATTGTAAGGTATATAAAATTTTTTACATCATTTTAAAGGATGTAATTTTACATGGCAAAACACAAAATTTTAGAGAAATCAGTCGAATAGTTCCTGAGAAATTGAATTTCTTAAAAGTCCAGTACTTTTAATTCGATTTCTCAAGAATTTTTCGACCGATTTTTCCTGAAGTTTGTATTTTGCCATGTAAAATCACATACTTTAAAATGTTATAAAATATTGTACACCTTACAATTCAAATTTTTTGATAATTATTAAGTAATAAAATAATTATTATTTATTAGTAGTTATTTTTGCATGTAATTTGGATCAATGAATTGTATAAATGTGTGCAAAATGTTTTTTAATTCGCTTCAAAATTTCTTGAAGCTGTAATAAACCAAGTTTGATGAAAAAGAAAAAAAAAGAAAACTGATTGAAGATAGATTTTTAAAATGTTTTAGGATCACAATTAGAATTTTAAATTGTAATATATTTAAAATTCGGTTTCTTACTAGCTATATTGTGCCAATTTTGTGTTTTGACGCGTAAAATTACATTCTTGCACAGGACAATGTAAACATTCATATGTTTTACAATTTAAAATATTTTTGACTGTTATGAAATCATAAAAAGTAAAAAATAATTATTTAAAACTATTTTTTGAATGGAGTAATCTTTGGATAATTGTATGGAAAAATTTTTCTATTTGTTTAAAAAATTTAGAGATAGGATGAAAGACGCAAAAAGTAAAATTATAGGCTTCAAACTTTAGACTGTTCTGCTAATCAAACTTTTGGGACAGTATTTCCCAAATTGCGGCTACTCCTAAATGTTTGCCTAAATCTATTGCCTACCAACTGTAAACATTTGTTGATGTTCTGAAAGCATTAAAGTTATACAAATTCTCTCAGCTTTAATACTACTTTTTATTTCCTTTTCAGGACTCTGGAAGCTTAGTAACCATGCATGACTGATTAACAACGAGCTTTTGCTTTATATTGCTATCTTCGTCAAGTCTCACTAATATAAATGAGGATGTTTATGTTTTGATTGCAGTAGTCAGCCAAATGAAAACAGATAAACAATCCTGTCAGAAACTAAGACATTGTGCACAATGGTTGATTGAGATTGTTCAAAAAGCTTACTTGATTTATTGTATATAAATATCCATTAGTTAGCATTGACTGTAATAAAAAAATAAAAAAAGTATCTTTAGTGCTTTTTTTTCACTGCCAACAATCTGTGGTTTCCGTGCAATTGTTATTTAGATGATAAGTTTGTATTCTAAGTTGGAATGCTAGATTCCAACTTAGAATGTGTATAAAGCATTCTAAATTCTTCTTTTGTCTAAAGTAAGAACTCCCCTACCCATTTGTCGTGACCGGTGGCTGTGACTATGGTAACGACGCATAACTATTTCAAGTAGGGGTGTGGGGTCATTGTTTAGGACAGATTTTGGATTGCGTCGGCGAGAGAAAGGGAATCTTTTTCTTCGGTGTTAGCTCTAGAGTAGAAGAGAAGCTACCCTCCCTGAAATGCGCTATTCTTGTTTCCATAGCAGGAGACGGCCTCGGACTTTGTGGCAGGGGGAGTTTTTACCGTCGACACCAGTCTGCAAACCGTACCGCAGCCGTACTAGTCCATGTAGTAGTCTGTAGCCGTACCGTACCGGTTTGCAAACTGTGTACCGTAGACCGTAGTCAGTAAAAATATAGACTAGAACCGTTTCAAATAGTCGTCTTCATCTTGCTGGATCTGATACTAGGTTTTTTCCATACATTGAATCCCATGGTTATGAGATCTTTTTCCACAGAATCAATCCATCTGTTGTCCGTTCTTTGCTCTTTTTCGGTTGGCCGTAAACTATCCGGAAGTTAGCTTCTTGACTGGGTCACCATCATCCCTTTTAATAGATGTGACCTAGCCATCTTATTCTATTGGATTTAATAACTGAAATTATGTTTGGTTGCTTAATTCATAATTGTACTGAATCCGCCGACCCTTTGCTTACGGTGTACCATGATGTACCACCACATGTGGTCCACATGTTGTACCAGCCGTAAGCAAAGGGTTAAACACTGTTACGATAAGGTGGGTGGATTGTGGAGTTTAAATTACAAGTCATAAAAATGATCGTTAACCTGCTTAAATCCATTAAAAACAGTGGCAGAAAAATCTGCATTAAAAAGGGGATTTTTATTAAAATTCATTATCAAAATCGATATTTTAATTTTTGATATATGCGTAATAAAATTTATTAATAATATCATCGTAAAATGTAATTTATTATAGCTAATGTTCATAGCAGATTACCATGAAACTACTGGTAGTTGAAACTATTTGAAAAGAGCTTAACTCATTAAAGACAAAATCACACTTTGCCAACAATAAATTCTGTGCTAATCTATAAAATCATCAATTCACGAAAAAAATTAATTTATGAAGTTTTACTGGAAAATATTTATTAATTATATTTTTGATAAGAAAATAAATTTTTGCATGCGATGAAAAATCTCTAAAGCCTACCAAGTTTTTAAAATATATGAAATGCTAAAAAAAGCATTCCGGCTTACTTAATATGATGATTCATAAAATTGACATATTTTAGGTTCGGGGGTTTAAACTTCTTTCTTGACTGATGAAAAAATCCGAATTAAAAAAGTGCTAAAATACATACGAAAAGTTAATTCTGATCTTCATTTTTAAGAAAAAAAAACATTATTTCTCGAATATAAAGTTATAGAAAAATTTTTTATTTACAACAGGTGTACATTGTGCAAACAAAAAATTATTTCGATTTTGTTTTTCGAAAATAAATCTTAAAATTTCAATTTTCAGTACCTGTTGAAAACATCAATATCTATTGCACTAAAAAAATGGAGATATTGGAGAAAGTAGATAATATAAATAACTTACATTTGTTTTTTTCTCTTCATATGATAAATTAATAAATATTAAAAATTATCAAGATAAAAGCATATAGATTTTTTAAAGTAGAATTCCGTTTAAACTGGGATGCGCTTAGAACTGGGATAGAAAAAACAAAAACTAATTTTACATTAATATTTCTGCTTAGAAATATTAGCTATTTATTTAATAATAATTAAGTCTAAGAGATTATCAACAGCTAAATGATTGAGTAGCAAGAATGGAGGTTGGTGGGCGAAGCGAACAGGATCTCGTCTTCAAAAAAGATTTAAAATATGTTAGCCTCAAAAACACATTTATGCGATCCTTAATAGATCCCTATTACTATAATCTTGAATTTTAAAAAATAAAAAATGCAAAAACTGATAATTGTTGGGTATAGTAAAAACAAAATGTAAGCATTGACAAAAATCCCAAATAAAATAATTTCTTTCCTTTTTTAAATCTCGATTATTAAAAAAATAATTTCTTCAATTGTTTTTTTGAATTGTTTCCTTACTAGTAATAGTTTTCACACTGTAGTAAAGTAGTAGTTTCCATACGATCCTAGTAATAGTTTTCATTCCGTCGATTACTTATTCTTACTGTAAACAAGTCGAATATAACGGACTTACATTTTCTGTAGGAGAATTTCAGAAGAGGTTGTTTAGATACTACATCATGGCATCACTTAGTACATGACATCACTAATGATGAGACGTCATGAATGACGTGTCAGAACACGCGTAACACGTAAGAGTAGAGAAAATGATGAAATTTTCAAAGTTTCAGTTTTTCTACGGAATGGTAAATGTTTACAGACGAAAGAAAAAGATCAGAAGTTTCCATTCAGGCGGCAGATATTAAGTTTTTGAGATAGTGTTACCAGATGGTTGAAATTGTATAATTTCTTGTTTCATAATAGATTATCAGTAATCGCATATCTGTTATTAAAATAAACTGTAATATTTCTCTGGTTACATTTCTTCATTGTTGATAAAATCAAATAGAGAACCTTTTTTCTCCAGTTTAGAAAGTTCAAGAAAGGGACTAGAATCGTACGTATATTTAAATATATCTAATTACATTTAAAGAAAGCAGGTGAAAAGTTGGAGGTTTAATTGAGGTTAATATTGTTGTTCGAAAACCACTGACGTTTCTTCTGCTTTCTTTTTAAAAAAATTTATACATTATTTTCTTTAGATGAACTCGATACTTATAATAAACTTTATAAAATTGCATATTATATCTAGAAAATTAACTGAGTCTATATTAACACGATTGCTTTAAGTTACACTCAATATTTTTTATCTTAATTTTTCGTGCAAAACCATTGAAAAGTTGCCTTTATTTTAAACTATTTAAAGTGTACAGTGTGCAAACAAAAAATTATTTCTATTTTGTTTTCCGAAAATAAATCTTTAAGATTTATTAAATGACTCAGAGTTGTTAAAATAAATCTTTAAGATTTATTTTCAGCACTTGTTGAAAACATCAATATCCATTGCAGTAAAAAAAATGGTGCTATTGGAGAAAGTAGGTAATATAAATAACTTATATTTGTTTTTGTTTTTTTTCTTCTCTTCATATTGTAAATTAATAAATGTTAAAATTTATCATGATAAAAGAGTAGAGATTTTTTAAAGTAAAATCCCTTTTAAACTGGGATGCTCTTAAAACTGGAATAGAAAAAAAACAATGATTAAAGAATGATTAAACAATGATAAAAAAAACAATGATTAAACAATGATTTTCTAGTGAAATTTGAGNATTTTATCAATTGAAGCTGTCTGTGCTAACTATTTCCATCAATTTATGTTTTGTAGAAAAAAAATAGAGAAAGTAAAAATGTCATCAGTACTTTGTTAAAAAAGGAGAAACAGAAATAATTTTAAACATAGTCGACAAGAAAATGGATGTATATTGTTTATATTTGCCACTGATCGGCAAATAAAAATTCTATCCGCGGGGCGGATAAAATCTTCCGGCGGGCCACAGTTGGCCCGCGGGCCGTAGTTTGCCCATCCCTGATCTATGTCATCACTGAATGAATAAATAAAAAATGTGAAAACGCAAATTTTATATATGTATGTTGGTAAATTAGTATACTCTGTACCTATTAGAAATAATACCAATTACCATAATACCAGGAATAATTATCAAAATTAATTAAGCCATATTGAGTGTAAACCGTTCCTTTTTATTCACTTTTATATTATCTTCTCTATTTTATTAATGAAAGCAAATATGTTACTGAAACTGTGCTAGTTTCGTGAACGAGATATTTTTGAATAGAAACCATAAATTGATTTTTAAGTGTATGAAAGTATAAAAATAGTGAAAATGCAAAGTGGCAACTATTTACCAATTATTTTTATATTAGTATACTTGGTACCTATTAGAAATGCTACCGATTACCCTAATACCATACCAGTAATAATTACCAAAATTAATTCAGCCTTATTGGGCGTAAATAATGTATGGCGAGGCGATTCTTTATAATGAATCAGTACCTTTTCTCTATAAATTTTGCTTCCCAGTACAGTGGTTCCCAATTTTTCCAGGGTACGGAGCTCTCACGCAATAAATAAAGTTCAAAAATTAACCAAAGGAACACTTAAAGAATGATTTTCTAGTGAAATTTGAGTAGTTGATTTCCTCCCCAAGAACGATTTTCTGGGTGTGTCTATAGGCGTCACTAGCGACTACGTCATCTGGTGGGAGGTCCTAATAATTAAGAGTGGGAACGGTCTGGGAGGTTAATATTTGGCTCCTCCCACCGGGCTTCTTTTATTTAAAACAAGAAAAGAAAATTACATGGGTAAATAAACAGTAGTAAATGCTAAAATGTTCCTGTTTCAGAAAAATAATAAAGTTTTAACTTTTCATTAAGGAAAATATCCATATTTTATTTAGAGAAGAAGGCGTGGCAACTTCATTAGGCCTAAACTTTCAGATGGGCGTGACATGAAAGGAGTGTCAGGACTACATCGTCATGTATGAGGTCTTTAAGCCCCTCGTTTAGGCTTACGAGTATTCTGGCTTTAAAGCTGGCTTTGCGCGATGTTTTGATCGCTTGACCCGGGCAATGCAGCCGTTGATGTAGGCAGGATGGTCGAGGCTGCACTTAGCAGGTCTTGTCTTGCAGATATGTGTAATTTATACATTGTGGTTGAGAATTGGGATGTGCAGGTCATTTGAAAATGTCCGAATTTCTGGCATCTAAAACATTGCGACCAAAAACCAACCGAAGTCTTTCGATCCGTACAGGGTAGCCCGCAAGTTCTATTTTTATACGTCGTTGAGCATCCGACCCTATTTTTTGGGTTTAGGACTACTAATGTTGAACTACATAGCTTTGCAGTTTTGAACGCAATCCAGAAGACAAGGGAACTCCTGGATCAAGTATTGGAAAGAAATGTGCCTTCGTGGAAGACTTTTTGATGCAACTAACCCCCATTTGCGTTATATGGAGAGGAAAACCTTGCGCGGTTAGCCTGACGGCAAAGAGACTCTAATTCATGTTCCGTCTACCACTAAGGATATTTTACGTCAGCACTGTGGTCGGTGCGAGCCGGGTGCGGAATTCGATCCGACCAGTTATCACTGGGATCGAACCCAGTTCACCTCATTTGTAGGTGTGCGCTCTATCCCCTGAGCCACTAGCCCGCAATTTGTGAGAGCTCAAAGGTGGTGCTGCTCGTTGAAATTGAAGAGGACGATGAATAGCGGAAGCGGGCCTGTAAGCACGTGTTTCGCTAATTGCAAAGATCCTTTTCTTCATCTGGGAAATTTGGGTTGGACGGTGAATCTCCTTTGTCTCTATATCATTAGTAGAAAAGTCCTCAGGCAAACTCCGATAGACTGTCTTGATGATGGAGTGGCTGGCCTTCGAGAGAGGTTTTTCGAGATAGCTGGAAGAGCTGGTCACCTGCTTCTTTTTACGTTTTTTGGATCGCTTGGACTTTTTTGACGTTGATATTCGTAAAAAGAAACAAAATTTCAGTGGCTATATAGGAATGTGCAGTCCTGTTCAGACATTCGAATGGGTGTTAAGACAACATTGTGTCCATAAAATAGCAAGCAAGACTTCGTGAATAGGTCGCTGTAATTGAAGGATTGAAGTAATGGAACACGTATTAAAGAGCGTATCTGTGAGTTGCCGCTTATCATTTAAATGAAGAAAGAAAAAAAAAGATTCTAGTAAATTAAGATTGTATAACTTAGTCTCGTCTTAATTAAGTATATTAAGACGAGACTAATTCATTTCAAAACTTCATTATACTATAATGAAGTTTTCAAAAAACTCAAATATTATTTTTAAGATATTCAGCTTGCCCTTTGTATGATAAATACAATAGCAAAAAAAAATTATACATTCATAGTTTTATATACAAAAAAATGTAAATATCCACCTTGTGACATTTTTCGGTTCGTTTAAGGAAATCCTCTTAATGATGACCATGGACTTGCTGGTATAACTTATTTATTTCATGAATCTGGGTTATATAATTATTTACAATAAGATACAAAAATATATATGAAGTGCAGAATATAATATTCCGGAGCTCTACTGTTCCCTTCTCGTTCATACTTTCTCTACATTCTCAACTCATCCACGTTCAAGCTAATACTAACTAAAAAAATCCTCTTTCTCACAAGAAAAAGTCCTTCGCTCCACCCCCAATGTAGGGGAACGACACTTCCCGTGTCCCTGACCCTCAGGTCAGGGGTCAATCAAATGCGTGGGAGAGGAATCAGGATCCTGACACACCTAATAGAAATTGATCTTGGAATTTTTTATTTAGGGAGAGTCGGGTAGCCCCACCCACTTAAGGAGTATTGCTTATATTTCTGTATAATATTGAGTAATAATCAATATTTTTGTATGTTTCTATTGTTTTATCATCTAATTAAATAATGCAAAAAGAATAAACCAAAAAAAGAATAGTTTAACTTAAAAAAATAGAAATTTAAAAAAAGATGTTTTTCAGCTCTTTTCAAAATGTGTCAGGTAGCCCGCCCAGTTACAAAAATTATCTTTCTTGACTGTTTTTTCAGGTGTAAATGATTTATTTGATATTGTTATTATTAATAGACTTTTCATCGTATTTTTGGAGTTAAAAGGAAAATCTTGAAACAAATTTTAAGAATTTTTTTTTATTAAATACCATAATATCACAAAAATTAACTGACACTATATTAACTCTATTTTCCTAAAATTAGAAAGTTATTCTCAATATTTTAATTTTTTAATCATCGAGTAAAACCATAAAAGAGTTGTTTTGTAAAATTTTTAAAAATTATTTCATTTTTACTTTTAAAAAATTAAAAAGTCTCGTGATTGAAACTGTTTCTTAATTTTAACTACAAAACACTGAGTACTATATTTATGCGAAATAATGCGTTTAAATATGTCCTAATCAAAAAATGTTCATTCACAATAAATCAGAGGAAAAGAAGTATGAGTAAGAGTGAAGTAAGAGTAAGTTGAAAACAGTATAACACAATGTTCGCAAATGTGTGGCTGGGTGGCGCAGTTGGTTTGTCGTCGGCCTTCTGAGCCCAAGTCTGCGGGTACGATCCCCGGCCCAGACACCGGATTTTCGGGATGCAGATATTCCTCAGCGGCCATGATTATGCGGCATGTAAAAAAAACCTGGAGTGCCTTATTGGCTCTTGGTATTTAGGGCAAAATTAAATTCCTAGTTCTCTTTAGCATCCAAATATAGTTTCGGTGCTGCCATCTAGTGTGTCAGAAACTAGACGATTGTGACAGACAGAGAAACTAGGCAGAATCAGAAACTAGACCACTCTTTCAGGATCACCCATTGTGGTGGTCCTGAAAGAGTGGATACCACCTCTGGAGAACGCACTAGGTCTGCTCATCGGCAAGATCGATTGTGCATCTCGTTGGAAATAAAAAATGTTGGCAAATGAATAAGTTCACCCTTTCTTTCATTCCAAAATTTATAATTCCGGACATTTGTAAATTCGCTTACCCATCAAGATAATAAAATTGTATTGATAAATGTAATACTACTATCATTAAATGTATTATATTCTAGTTGTAAATCTAATCCTGTTTGCAATATCTCAAATTTAATAACTTGGCATAATATATTTTGATATATTTCTTGGCCTAGTAGAAACTTACCGCCAAGACAGTGCTTGTTTTTTATAAATTGCACCCCTCACATGTCAATGAGAAGAGATACCTACCTAGAAGCGTAATCAACTAAAAGCTCAATCAGCATACTGTTAGGGGTGGGGAGTTATAATTGAGGCAATTACTGAGCGCAGTCCACCACTGCCCGCTGACAACCGTCCTGATTTTAGAGGCTGTTCTATTGATAAGAACTGGCAGTGGTGGACTGCGCTCAGTAATTACCTCATTTATAATTATTTGGGGGCCGTTGTCAGCGATAAAAAAAGATATTTGATAATCATTATTATCGCTTCCCGGACAGACGAAACTGCGGCCACTAGGCTTAGCAGTGATGTTGGCTCTTCCTCTAGGTCAGGGATGGGCAAACTTTTCTAGTCGAGGGCCAAAAATCGAAGAAAAATTTTTTTGGTGGGCTAAATAAAAACATCTAAAATAAAAAATATATACTATATGCAATTTTCAATGTAAATATTTAATGAGATGAATGAAATTGCGATTTCATTTTTAAAAGTTCCTTATATTAAGGTTCCAAGTGAGATGTACTTATTTTAAGGAACAAGGGTAAGCTACTTCTAGGTAACTACTTCTGAAATGATTTTTTCTCAGGTTTGTAGATGAAAACACTTGTTCACACATAAATAAAAGGAAGCAAACATAGACCTGATTTTCTAGGCATGAAATATTTGGGAAACTAGCTTTTAGTAATGATTTGTAAAACTCAATTTTTGCCATATTCAGAAAAAATTGCTTCAGATGGCACCAATCTACGGCTATTCTATAAAGAACTTCTGCTCATTTCACCAATTGAAGCTGTCTGTGCTAGCCTCCATCAATTTATTATTTTGTAGAACAAAAATAGAGAAAGTTAAAAGGTCCGCAGTACTTAGTTAAAAAAGAAAGAAAAATAACTTTAAACGAACTAGACAAGAAAATGGATGTATATTGTTTATATTCGCCACAGATCAGCAAGTTAAAACTTCATCCGCGGGCCGGATAAAACCTTCCGGCCGCGGGCCGTAGTTTCCCCATCCCTGCTCTAGGTAGATGCAACATCAGGAGGAGCAAAGCAAGATACGTCCAACACTTAAGAGATCCAATGAGCGAATGAAACGAAACATACGATGCAAAGGTGACTTCGATGTTTAAATATATACATATATCACAAAAAAAGGGACCCGTTTAATATGCGTTTTAATTCATTGCACAATTTGGTGAAAAAAAGCAGCAATTTCAGAAGAAGCTAAATAAATATCGTAAAAGTATTTCAGATCGATGATGAATAGTATTCTACATCATTCAAAACAAGATATGAAACTAAAATAATGAAGTTCTCAAGTACTATACACACAGCAACAAAACGCCAAGTACGTGTGCCACCAGCAAAGCTTCCAAAAAGAAATCCAATACTTTATCTGATAGTAACAAACAGTTCCAGCTCGTTCATGTGACTTGTAATGGTTCTTTCTGTAACATCTTTCAGAAAATTGCTCACTGTTTAAAGTTTTAATGGATAGGGATTACAGGTAAAGCCACAAAAAAGTGCATTGATATAATTCGAAATTTTTTTAGCACTTTCTACTAATCCCACCATTGATTCATTCTGCTAATTATTCCTGCTATTAACCCTCCATATTCAAACTTTTCTACAAAAATGGACTCTGGTCCGTGACTAGCACATTATTTCATTGTTTAGTTTTAATGTTATTGCAGTGGAAAGCATTGAAAATTTTCTGAAATCGCGGTGACGGCGGTAATATATATATATTTTTAATCTAGACAGACATATTAATAATTTTTGCTTTCAATTTTTATATTATAAATAAGAAAAATAATATGTTTGTGTTAAAAATAAGTTAAGAATTTCAAATGAATAAGTGCACCGTATTTAGTTATTTGCAATTTCTTATTTCTAAATGCTTTTATTGCCAATTTTAGCAAATAGATTAAAAATTATTTATTCAAAAACAAGCAAAATGCTTAAATTTTTTTTTATTGTATTTCCAATCATACGTCTAATATTTTTATACATTGGCATCATACTTTTAGGATTCAATGTATGATGTTCCTTACTAACGTAAATTAATTTTTGAGAGACTATAATTGTTGAGTCTTCATGTTAACAGAAGGTATTAGTTCCCTGTTTAGGAAGCTTTTAAAGAATATGTTAATCTTCTATTTTGAGAAGTTTTTGTTTACGAATTTTTTCATGTATCTGTATTAGTACTTGTTGCAATTTTTCAGCGCGAAACTTAGAAGGAAATAAAAGAGTTTCAATTGTATATTAATACGACTTTTGATGACTGCAGGTAAGAAAAACTTTTTTCTTGCCAATTTCTGTTGTCTTTTTTTTTTTTAAGAGAAGGTACAGTTTTTAATATTTTATGAATCTTGTAAAAATCCGTTTCAAAGGTTAGTTGAGACTTTCGTTTTTCCATTAGTTTTATTTTAACAATAGTAGTAGCTCGTACAGTTTTGCACCACGTCGACCTCGCTGCTCCCTTTCCACTTTCCATTGGTTCATAAATAGCTTTATAAGAAAAAAAATCGAAAGCAAATATAGGCAATATAAAGACATTTTTTTAAATCTTATAGTACCTTATTATATGAAGAATACTTCACTTTCATAAATATTAAATAACATCATAAGATTTGTGACTAACCGAAAGTAATTAATAATTGTATTTAATGATTATGTTCCTTTTTCAGTGCTGTTAAAGATTCGAGCTCCAAGCTAAAGAAGAGTTTCATAGAGATGGAGTTACACTTGAAGGAACCAATCAAACGCAGTCTGACAAACATTACAAGAGGAGATTTTTCTGAAATCTGGGAAGTAGACACTCCAGAGAAGAACAATTTAATATGGTCTGTAATGACACCATATTTATTGTCTTCAGCTGAAATTGGAAATTTTGAAACCAGCATGCAGTTGCTCATTGGCGATGGCGATGAGGTTCAACGCCTGATGGATAGTATTAATTTAAGAGAGAAATTGAATCCTACAGTTATACAAAATCTGGTACGAAGAAAAAATCCTTTAGTTGATCAACACTCTCTATACATTGAGAATGATGTACGTAATTTAATGCGATTGTTTAAAAAGAGATTGGATTTTCTTACAAATGACTTGAGCAGAACAACGGGTAATAAGTTCAATGATTTTCTAAGACTTCAAGCAGCAGCGAATTCTATTGAATGTCAGATAGATCTCTTTGATGAAAATAATGTGCTGTTCAAATCATTCTTTCCTGATAATTTAACGGAAAAACTTGTTGAAAAAGAAGGTGTAATTCTTTTTGTGCATTTAGTCTCGGGAACAAATATTTTTCGATATGGTTTGCGAAGTGACTATGCTTTGCATTCTAGAAATAAACATTTAAAGGGTATTTTGAAACTAGCCAAAATCCCTCCGGATAAAATCGATACACTGTTTAATCCACATCCATCTGAACAATTACTTCTCCAGATACTACAAAGTGCCGAGCGAGAGATTGTGCATAATATTTATGAATCTGCTTTCATTTTGGAAAAGTTATCATCTGCAGGATACGACATGAGTCCAGAATCGAAAGACAACGAAGGTTTTTCAGCATTTCATCATTGCTTAAAATCTGATGACTGGGCGCTATTTCTCAAACTTTATAACTATCCTACAAAAAGCATGCACTTTTCGAGTATTTATGACGATGATCATCATTGGAAAGTATTGGAGTCTTTTGAAGTTACAATAACAAATGATTATATGAATTTAAAGAAAGATTTATATGAAAAACTTGTATTTTGTACGGAAGATTCAATAAGTATTCTTCTTTCGTATGAACAAATCCTCCATTTCATTACGTTACATAAAAATTTCTTGAAAAAAATGAGCTACATAATGAGAAACTCCACTTCAAGCAATAGTGATAAAGCTAAAAACTTACTAACGTTATTAATAAACGAATACAATAGCCATTTCTATTTTCGCAGCAATCGATGGGATGAGTTTGAAGAATATTTTTCATGCTATGCATATCATAAAATACTAGATGATTATATTAGTTTGTGTTTCACTGATTTTTTCATGTCATTAGGTAACATAGTTGATGTGAATAACGAAAAATCACTGGAAGATGCTTTAATAAACTTATTGAAATACTTCAGCAGTAAAGTTTATTGTGGGAAACTTGGATTCAGAACAAGAGATTACAAACCTGAAGAAAAAACTATTTTTTTCGCAATTTTTTGTTACAGAGTAGAGTGGAAGTCATCCCTAGATGTTTTGTTGCAAACATTACAGAGTAGTTTTGCTGATAAAGGCAAAAATACAACACAGCTTATCTTTGAGACATGCATGAAGAAATTTCCACTTTTAAAGGAAGATTATGAAATTATGAATTTGAAAATGCATTTCAAAATGGCTGACTCTGCTGATTTTTCTAAAGACTCATTAAAATCAGCTTTTATTGTTGAAAGAGCCTTACATATAATTGGAGAAACTATTTGCAGTGTAACAGATGGATGCATGATTACTCCATTATTAAGTTATTGTTTATCACCCGATTTAGAAAGAGCATTTTGTGACATGCGAAATAATTGTCTTGCTCATTATAAAGCAAGCTCTGTCAAAGGGAGGGAAGCTATTGAAAAAGGTTCATACTTGAACAATATTCAACCAGAACTAAACATATTGTCTGATAAACTTAATCCAATATTTAAATTACAATCGTTTCGAGTAAAACAAGAAATTCTTGAAAAATGTATGAAAGAATATCACAATACTCCCACGAAATTGCAACCACAAAGGGTTGAGGTTCTTCGTCGGTTGATGAAAATAGAGATTAAAATCTTACGATCAAGAAAAAACATTTACAGCAGTTATAAAAATGAATATGTATCTCTACTCTATAAAATTCTTAAATGTATTTTGCAAGAATTAAAAACAAAGAAAGTTTCGGAATTACGAATGCGTTTCGAGCACTTTAAATATTTACTTAGTTACGATGAAAAGAAAGTCAAAGTTTGGGATATTTTTGACATTTTATCGCAGTTACATATGCAAATGTATGCAATATTTGAAAAAAATGACATTAAGACAGACATTACACAAGACATGTCGAATGAAATTTTAAATACTTTTAAAAACGTTGAAGAAAAATTTGATTCTCACGTATCTGACTTAGCACTAGACTATTTTAATGAAGACGAGTTCTCAATCTTAAAAAGTATAACCTGTAACATAGTAATGAGTTCCTATTCCTCTATTGAAATAGAAAAACTTATGAAGGAACTTTCAGTTTTTTATATGAGAAATAGTAAATCAATTAAAATAATGACAAGAGGACTTTATCAAAATTTTAAAAGCACTTTTCAGGAATTAAAAAATAAAAAAATAACAAAAGTCGAAGAATTACAAAAACGTTTCAAGTATTTTGAACCTATTGTTAATGATTGTACTAAAAAACGGAAAATTTTTGATATTTTATCACAGTTAGTTGCACAAGTTGATGCAATATTAGAAAGAAACACTGCAGGAATAGTGACAGACATTTCACAAGACAGAACGAATGATATTCTAAATATTTTTAACCAAGTTGAAGAAATACTTAATTCTCACTTGTCTGCTGTAACAAAAGAGTTTGAAAATAAAAATGAATTCGTAAACTTAAAAGATTTATTCAATAAGATAGAAAAATATGAGTATTTTTCTCCTATTGAAGCAGAAAAAATTAGGGATGAATTTTCAGATATTTTGAAGACACCATTTGAATCAAGACAAATATTAATTGATCACTTAAACAATAAAAATCCTTTAACGACCGAAGAAATTAATACACATGTTGAAACACTTTTTGTACCAAAAACACTGAGAGAAAAAATAAGGAAGAGTTTGATAAGAGATCCACCAAAAGCTTTGTTAATGATACGTGACATTAAAGACAACGTAGAAACAATATTAGGCAAAAAAGAGGATACTAGTTATAAATTTATGAAAATTTTCTTGGATGACATGTTCATAAAAAAAATTAAACTCCTAAACCTTCCACTGTTTCTACATGAAAAAATACGAAATCTTCACTCTCAGAAGCTTGATTTTGCGATTGAAAGGCTTCAATACATGAAACAAGTTCTAACTAAAGATGACCATTCTCTATGTAAATGGTTAGACAATGAAAAGAAGACATTGAAAGAAGAAAACTACACGAAACAGTTAATGGTGCAACGTTACGCGAATGAAATAGATACCAAAGCTGCGTTGGAAACTCTTTTATTGGATTATCTTAATATAATTAATTGTAATAAAGAATTTTATGAAATGAAGCGGAAATCTTCATCTCTTTTTTGTGGCATCAATTTAAGAAACATTTTGTCCCACCAAAGCCCGGTGGTAGAAATTTCGAATATGGTCTTGGACGATAAAAATTTAGCCAATGAATTTATGAACAAGATTTACATGTACTTGGAAGATTTAAAACCCTTGGTAGCTCTGTCAGATTTCTACAAAGTCATGAGATGTCCAAAGAAGAAAAAGTTTGAAGCACTGATAAAAGATGAAAAAACTCAAGATGCATACTCACTATTTAGGAATACCATTAAATCGTGTGACAAATGGAAACTGTACTTGCTTTTACTTCCTGAGGAATGATGACATCAAACGTTGACACTAAAACAATATCACATTTAAAGATTAAGGAAGGCTATGTCTATTTTTTTTATAAAAATGACAGTTGGATCACCAGCCAATGCTCCCCCCCCCCGAGAGTTATAACACAGTAAAGATGGGCCGTACTATGGGAAAACAATTTTTTCTTCAGGATCAGCTTTCTAGCATAGATTGTTTTTTCCCTCAGTGTCTACAGTTGAAATGCATGAAATACGTTTTTCTTTAACCCTTTGCTTACGGTGTACCATCACATGTGGTCCATATGTTGTACCAGCCGAAAACATAAAGTGCTAAGATTTATTATAAACTTCTTTACATTTGTTGCATCGGCAGAGTTAAACATCGCACTTTATATTCCAGATTTGATTTTCAGGAACAGGAAAAATGTCAGGCATGTTAGATCAGCATGGTAGATGATCTAATGGACAATATTTGGTTTTTGATGTGCTCCTCGATAAGCATCGAACTACACAGCAGCAGACAGTCATGGTTGTGATGAAAACTCAAATATTTTAAATTTTCGTGATGAAAGATTCGATAACCTTTTGAATCAAATTATCATTTAAAAAAATCTTTCATACATTTTCATTATTTTGTATTCATTTGTGGTATTATTATTGGTATTTTATGTCTTAATAAGTGGAAAATATTATTATATATTTAATATTTTAATAATTTATGGTTCGAAAATACAGCATGAGACACCGGTATTCATTTTCTGCAATAAAAGTAAAATTTCTGATTATCAATTATTGATTTCTGATTATCAAAAATTAATCAATAATAGATACATTTTTTTAAATATGAATGAAAAATATTTTTTTCTGGATTACTTTTTTGGAATTTATATTTCAGTACAAATATACTTTTGATAATATAATTTAAGTAACTATTAGATTTTCTTATAACTAAAAAGCGCAAATATATTAATTTAAATAATTAATATAAATATTATGTATTATTGAATACACTGGTGGACAAAATTAAGAAATGGAAAACATTTTCGCACATGTGCAATACCCGCACACCGCTCCACGTGTTTGACAATGGTTCCGTGAATGCCCAGAGGCACAGGCAGGAGGTCCTAGAGCCCTATGTGCGTCTTTTCAAGGGCACTGTTAGCCCTGAATTCATTTTTATGGACGACAATGCGCGACCACATAGGGCTCTCATGGTTGATGAGTATCTGGAAAGCGATGATATTCAACGAATGGTTTGGCCTGCCAAATCCCCTGACCTGAATCCTATTGAACATGCTTGGGATGCTCTTGGGAGAGCTATTCCGATGTGCCAACCTCCCCCCAGAACTATTCTGGAGTTAAAAATTGCTCTGGTGGAAGAATGGGANACCTGAATCCTATTGAACATGCTTGGGATGCTCTTGGGAGAGCTATTGCGATGTGCCAATCTCCCCCCAGAACTATTCTGGAGTTAAAAATTGCTCTGGTGGAAGAATGGGAGGGTCTTCCACAAGTCCTCCTTAACTCCCTTATTAACAGCATGCATACTCGTTGTGCATGCTGTCTGTCTGTCAGGGGTGACCATACACCACACTGGAGGCAATACACACTGTACAAGCCCCACTTTTATTGTCATCTTTTATCCTTAAGTTCAGACTACATTGGATTTATTGGCAATAGGTCTTGCCAGTGAATGGCACTTTCATTTTTGTTTTGCATACTTTATTATCATGGAATAAGCTATATCCATACCAAATTTCATTTGTTTATATTCAGTATTTTTTGAGATATTTGGGAAAATGTCTTCCATCTCTTAATTTTGTCCACCAGTGTATTATGGGTTAATATTAAAAGGATATATAGGACCATGTATGAATGCAGTATATTATATAATAAATATTATATATGTTATCATAAATATTAATTTAAATATAAATAATTAGAGCAGAAAAAAGGGACACCGATGTTCCATCTGCGTCAAAGGGTTAATTGCCTTGTTGAAACTGATCTCGATTTTATGAATTGCCCCGTTGAAGAATCCATATAAAGTTCTTATGTCATTTCTCACGCTTCCATAACTGTTTCATAAAATGTGGTGCAGAATTATTAATTCCACAATAATAATTTATTAATTCCACAATTATAATTAATATAATTTATTAATTCCACAATTCTCTCCTTACTTAACTTCAGATTCCATTTAGTGATTATAAGGTTGTTTCTCTTTCAACATAAGTTCATATCATTAACATACATTTTTTTAAACTTTCCCTCCCCACAAGGAATTTTTTTCATTTAGTGGCTATAAGGCTGCTTCGCTTTTTACATACATTCATATCATCAACATACAATTTTTAACAACCCCTTTTCACATGGAATTTTTATCTTTAAAATTGTTCAGAGATTTTAAAAAGCCACGCCTTAAACTAATGGAAAATGTGTAATTTTTGACCAATGAAAATGTACTCGCTGGGAAATTCTTAAAAGCTTGGTTTATTTTTAACTTATCTTTTTAGTCGAAAATCTTTTCAAGCCTACACACTCACATTCTGTTGAAATAATACAAGAATGTAAATAAATCATGTTCTTACCTTCTCATATTTGATTTCTTTGACCTTCATTTCTTACCTTCAAATTCATGTTTTTTAAAATTTCAAAATATGTCTAAAAAAGTCAGAAGAAAAGAAAAAATACTGAGACTTAAATTTTTTTAAATAATAATTTAGGTATTTATTTTTATATCATTCTTTCTCATGACTTATTAATTGAAGGTTCTGAAGAATAGGTTGAGTTTTATTGACTCTTTAATTGGTAATTGCATTAGTGCATTTTAAAATTAATTTAGTTTTATTTATCAGATAATTATTATTAGACACTTCACCACATTTGCCCCTCTTCATTTTATAAATTACGCAACCAATTTTATTCTATGTGTTAAAAGTTTCCTTGATCTGTTGCTTAATTTGTTACTTAATAGCAAACACTTCGTTCTATCTACACCTTTCTCAGTAGTGATTGCATAGATTTTAATAGCATTTTTGTTTTCTTCCTCGCTGAAATATTGATTTGTGATAAGGATTTCTTTTTGACAGTGATTTAAAAAAAAATTGCGATCCCCTTATTACGATCACTGGTTACCCATTGGTCAAATGCATTTCCTTTCTGGATTGATTCCGTTAAACGCCACAACATTGCAAATCATGGGTTGCATAAACTGTCTCAATTGATGTTTGTCGTCGGATTGGCTTTCAGATCCTGCCTATGTACGTGTTTCAAAACTTCGCAAAATACTTTTCCTTCTTCAGTATTCATATTTACATTGAAATTACCGTGAAGCCAGTAATTGTACGTTAATAATGAAGAGAATATAAAAATACTTTAAATTATTATTATGTAAATACATTAAAAATGTCTGCTAGTGAGAATAGAAAGAAAAACTGCAGCGGTAACCATAGCAACGCATGCAATGACGACGCATGCGCACTGTTTACTATTACTCTTGAACACTGTTGAAAAATGTGTGGACGCCATCAAATCCAAACTAAGACCCATTTTGCTAATCGATAAAAATGCATGCTATCTAGTGCTATTAGATTCACAACCTCTGTACAATATAGTAAACTAGGAGGCTCCGCCCCCTACTCGCTAACGCTCGCCAACACCCGAGAATTGCTACGCAATCCTATGTGGTTCACGCCGTGAACCATGGCTCGCTGCGCTCTCTCGCCAATGAACACAATGTTCTAGCACAAAGACATAGTATATTATCATCAAAGACATAGTATTATACTTATGTAGAAGAATTCTATCAATGTTCTTATTGGCTTTTAAAAAAGTATATTAGCTATTTAGATTGCACATGGTGAAAAAATCAAAACATTAGCTAAATGAGAAACATATTAGCAAAATAAATTATCAAATAGCATAAATAAACGCGAAATATAAAAAAATTCAATGCATTCAATACAAACACTTAGACGTTTTTTAGACGTTTAGATAGCTCCCAGTAGAAAGATATCAATTCAACAGCGGCCTTTTAAAGCATTCTCACTTCAATTAATTAATTAATTCCTAATTGAGTTTAAATTAAATAGTATCATGTTTTTAGGACATGAATCTGAATTGGACAACCTGATAATGCTCACTCTGGTTATTGTTTCCGTTTTTAAAAGTGCTATATGTTGAGCCAGTTTAAATTAAATATTATCATGTTTTTAGGGCGTGAATGAAAGCAGAAAGTGGTAATTTCAATTTGAGTGGTNCCGTTTTTAAAAGCGCTATATGTTGAGCCACTTCAACTAGATTTGCCATGTGACATTTTTAGCAGCAATCATTGGTCGATTTTCTAACGTTGCCATTCGGGGAGTTGTAATGAGGCTTTTTTTTGGTGCCGTGTAAGAGAAATATATATATAGATTTTGATGGTTTTCACTGTTGCAGATCATATAAGAGATCTGTTGGTATTAATGTTTATGTTCAATCACCATGTGATTTTAAAAAAGTAAATCATTATTTTGAATCCTTAGAAATTGTTATATTGCATAGAAATCTTGTTAACTGAGCGAAACTAAGCATACAGAGATCTTTTTCTTTTCTTTCTACAACTAAATATTTGAACATTGATTTCTTCAAAAAGATTTCTTGCTACAAAAAAAAATTTAAAAATATAATTTTAGTTGGTGACATAAGGTTGGTAATATAATAAACCCATCAAAGCATAGTGAGGATTACATATACTTCATATGAGTTTGATTTTCATCATTTAAATAATGATGCTATCCGATTCAATTCCAGTACTTGTATTGATCATATTGACACCCCAGTTTGTTAATTTTACTTTTTGCGTATTTCGCCAAATCACGAGAACTTTTTAAGCAAATATTTGCACACAATTATAAAATTTAATCCTAAAAAATAATTCAAATTAAATTTTCAAAAAATAATAATTTCATTTAATTGCATTTCAAATTTTGTATTTTCTCACATGAAATTACATTCTTTGAAATGATGTAAAAAATTGCACACTGATGTTTTATAAGGTTAAGAGCCAATGGTCGGTTTACCTTTCACTGATATTTTTTTAATCTTAAGTACCACTGCTTAGTATATTGCTGCTCACTATAGACTGTTTTTTTAAATTTAATTTTATTTATTTATTGTCTTAAGGTTAAGTGGCACTACGTGGTATATTTATGTCAGATATGCCCAACACTAATTTTTTTTAAGGTTAAATGCTATTGCCTCCGGTATTCCTAATGTTGACCTTTTGCCTTAGTAGTGTCGAATTAGCTCACCGTGATATTCCTCTGACTCAACCCAATTAATTAATTAATTTTAACCCAATATATCAGAGAATGCGAAATAATCCTTGGTTTTGGACTTTTATCGGAAGGTGTTGGTAATTCCTAGGTTTTACCGCAGAGGCTTGGAATGGAATGATAATTGAAACGCACTTCAGACCCATACCAAGTCACTTTAGTAAATCCTAGGTTCTACCGATAAAACCTAGGATTTACTAGACCTTTGGCTTTTACAATAACATATAAACCCAATTCTGTAGTCACTGACATGGACCTACGAATCCTGAAGTTACACATACAATTTATTTTTACTGTGTTGGTTTCTTAT